TGGGGTGATGGCAGCGACGAGGTTGAACCATGATGAGATTTTTTGCGGTCTTGTGATCGATTGCTACGCCCATGCACTGGGTGTGCCATGTTCCAACAGCACACTATGTGATTGCTGTGCGCGGGGGCTTGCGTCCCTGCTTCCAGCTGCTGCAGTTGTCCTTGAAAAAAAAATCCAAAATATCCAAATGTCGACAAGTTTTACCCCGGATGCAGCTTGCCACACGTCAACTGGATTCATGTTTTATCTTCTTGCGTATTGACCGCCTTCGTCATGGAAGCGTTTTGCACTACTGTATGCCGACAGGCGCTTAAAAGTGTTAGTTACAGGCCGAGAAGTGGGGATACCAATGATGGCCGGATGTTCCTGGGCATTTTTTCCGATTTGGAATCTCTGCTCAGGTACACGACATGCCATAACTCGAGCAATTTGAAACCTATTTTAATTTTTCATCGTGACCGCCTTTTCCCTGTCGTCAATTTGCGCTATCGTATGCTGTGCTGCGCATCGTATTGCGAAAGTTACACTCCGAAACGCATATCTTTTGATTCGCTCCTATCAATTATGTGCCACCGTAATAGGAAATTCTATCGACAACGTTAATCTCCCTACTACAGGCAAACATATGTAGCACCGCGGCAATTAGTCATATGAGTACAGCCCACCCCTCCCCTCCAAAACAGGCCAAAGACGATAGTTGGCCCGCTCCAACCCCGGCTTCCTCCTCACCTTGCCCCTAGAACCTGGGCGGCGATCGAAGGAGCTTCGGCGATCAAGGCGAACAAGAGCCACAGCGACAGGGCCACCTGATGCGCCCCGACCGCAGCTGAGGACATTCTCGTGGCAACCGCCGTGGCCACAGCCCAGCAAGCCATAAGCGATGTCGTTCTGAGGAAGGGGAACCACCGCAGAAAAAAAAAGGCACAACTAGAGATGAAGTCCGGTCGGTCCCCGGCCCGCCAACATAGGAAGGTTGATTTGTCTCCGTCACGGTGTTGTGACTGGGGCGGGTCGGGAGAGAGGGGGAGCGATGCGGCGTGCTGGTTTGTTTTCTCCTCTCTTCTCGTCTCTCCTACCCCGGCCAAACTGCGGTAAGAAGCAGTATCGGCACCATCGCAGCAACAGCAGCAGCACCGACTGCATGGCCATTTCCACCACACACGTCGCACAAGCACCGCACCTGAGAAGCATAGCTGCATTCGCCGATATCACCGTCACCAAGAGCGACCACGCCGCGGGCGCTGATGTTCCCGCCGCCGCCGCCGCCACCGCCGCCTCCGCCGCCCCCTCCCGTCGACGCCTCCCNCGCCTCCCCCCCCCCCTCCCGTCGACGCCTCCCCCCCGCCCCGAAGAATGGCACCGCCATCCTGCCCTCCCTGGCCCCTCTCCACAGCATGGCCCCGTAGATCGCCACCGCCAGGTACTGTGCGAAGGCCGTCGCGCCCGCCGCCCCGGCCACTCCCATGGACAGCGTGAACATGAACACCGGGTCCAGGAGGATGTTTGTGACTGCCGCACTCAGCGCCGCCACGGCGGGGGCCCTCGTGTCGGCGTGCCCGCGGAACACCCCCTCGCTCACCATGATCAGCAGCACCGCCGGAGCCGCTAGCGCTCGGACCTGTGTTGCAAAGGGTCATGGCACAGTACGATGCGCGAGAGTTCTGGCGGGTTTAGTATCGACGTGGTTGCCATGTGGCGGAGTCGCTAGCGCTCGGACCTGTGGAAAGGGTTTTCGGTAGAAGGCATGATATGCCGTGGGGGAGGGTTCGGTATACAGAAGAAAGTACTGGCAGTCCACGNGGGTTCTCACCGGACCAGGCTCTCACATCACCAAGCGCGAAGCGCCGGAGTGGGCGGCATGTTATACAACGTTGTTGCCAAGCGACGAAAACCCAACCCCGATGGCAAACATCGGGGGCGGGGGGGGTGGTCGATAAACTACGTAGCTGGGTTGTTTGGGTGCACGGGTAGGGGATGGTGGTTTGAGGCATGCATGCTAAGATGGAGAGATACACACATACGGCGGAGTATAAGCCCTAACAAAGGAAGAGGTGACGAAGTATCCCCCGCTTGACGCCCTTGACCAGAGCCGTGGAACAGCTAGAGAAAAAGACAGATGCTCACGCTGACATGCATCATCGAGCCCCCACTACGCCTCCAGCAAAGCTAAGGGATATACAAAACACGCACACCAAACGCACAGCCCCCTGTCGGAGCAACCCGCGGACTCACAGCACTTTAGTGTTGTCCCTCCAAACTCTAACAACGGGCCGCCGGTGGAGAGACACAGCAAGTAGTCGATACACAATGAACACCCACAAACCGCAGAGACATGCCGACGATTTGGATGCAAATCACAAAGAACCACTCGAACGCGATTCCATGTTGACGTACTGAACGCAGGCGAAAGACCACTCAAACGCGAAGACATGCCGACGTTATAGATGCAAATGAAAAAAACACTCAAACACAAAGGCATGCCGACGGCAACAACCACACCACACCTTCAGATACCCCGAGGCTTCCCTGAAAAGGGCAGTCTTGGGCCCCGCGCCCATGAGAGCCAGAATCGACGGAGCCTGCGTAAGTAGCGTCACCTGGAGCCCAACGCCGAGCACGCACGCGATCACGTACATCTGCTGTACGATCTGACCTGACGACAAAGGAAGGTACAGGAGAGAGGACTACTGATCGTCATGCGTGGCCGCAGGTTCTTGACGAAGCTTGCATCCGAAGTACTTTTTATCAGATGATACTGATCATCTGAACACTACGAAAGGCTGCTACAAAAAAAGCGTTAAAACAAGAGGATATGGCGTTTCGCCGAACCAAACCAAAACCACTCGATTTTAGAGAAAGGAATTTGCACAAAGGCAGACTTTTGCAGGGGGGACGAAAAACCCTCCGCACGAGCATCCGTTTCATGGCAATTAGCGCCGTGGATCGAAATGTTTAAATGTGCCAAGTCCAAAGCCTCTACATGTTTTTTGCAGCTTGAGAACACCCGGTGATGCAACTACACCCGTGTTCAATCCATTTGTTGATCGGGCATACACACGTGGAGAACGGCGGCGGCGCCTCAAACGAGCCACAAGATCCGTCATTTTGGCCAAATTTCGGGCTGCTGCATGCAAGTAGATACAGGTCACAAGGACACCTCTTGAATCGTCTCTGGTTGTCTACTGCTGCTGCTGTCAAGTCATGCGACGCCACTCATACATCATATCGGAAGGTGCTGGCAGTTTCGAGCAGTGTGGTTGCTTGTGGCGGGCTGTAGCTGTCGGCAACGGAAGCAAGCTTTGCTGCGCTGGTTCACCAAAAAATCTCGGCGGGAAGATTGTGCTCAAATCGCAAAACTGCAAGCACCTCGATCTCGCGCTACAAGGCCTAAACTGATTAGCGGCACGTTCTTGATCGACGGGGTTGCTCAAGCTGGGATGATTTCTCCAAAAATATGTAGAGGTTTGTATCTTCTGGGACTAAGCGCCAGAGGGGACATTTGACATTGTATAATCTAGCAGTGTGACCTGTGAGAAGAAAAAAAATGGTTGGCGAAAAAAACACCATCGCGGTGCCCCCAGGGGCGCAGGGGACGGCGAGAAACCGTGGGTAGCCTCAACACTTGAGCTCCCCGTATCTGAAAGTAAAACGACTCCATTGATCAAGCGACCAACATGGCTAGCACCGATCGAGTTCTCTCCCCTGCGTGGTCGGTGAAACCTTGCCGCGCTGCCCTGTCCCGGTACAACTGTGTGGAAACGCAATATTCAATATTCTTCAAGAACCTGCGGCCACGCATGACGATCAGTAGCCCAGGGCAAACGCTATAGCAGGGTATAATACCCTGGTCGAAAAAGGACTCAACTTGGCACATACTAATCAGCAGCGTGAAATGAATCCACATGATTGGATCAAAGCCCACTTTCACCCCGCCGCGCCCTAAAAAGCGCGGGGTATACCCTGCCATGGCTCGTTTTCTCCAGAATTGTACCCTGACTTCGGAAATGTACCGTGGAGCTGACAGGGAATGAGGCCCTTTCATCACCAATTTCCTCCGCAGGAATCCTTGCCAAACTATTTTCCTCTCCAACCGGATACCAAACAGCGACTCTTCCCACCCACAGACAACGAACCAGGACGGAGTTTCCGCTCCTGCAACACAAGGCCAACCATCACCTAATCCCGCTCGAAACCAACAGTGGTTGGAACACGCCAATTGGCAGAGACACGGGTCACGCCTTGAACGCGACGCCGATCCAGCATGGTTGAGATGCACGCACGTGCCGATGTATGGTGGTGTGCTGGCGGCGAGTTCGCGGCCGCAGAGAGGGGAGGAAGGACTAGCACGCACACACATGGAGTCTTCTCCTTACTCCAGAAGCAACACGCTGATGTGTCGTCCAACTTCAGCACCCTCCCTACCGGTAGAGAGAAAGAGTGCTCGCGTTTGTTTTTTCACACCGCTGAACCACGACGTCTTATTCGCTGGTCGCCTGGAAAGCACGATAGATGCAGATGCTAATTTCAAGCGAGACAAACCACAACGCAACACACACGCCGTCATCATCGATCATCAGGAAGGAGGGAGTGGCGGCCAAGGAGCTTCGGTGGAAGGAGCAGCGCACCAAGTTAACCGTGTACTGTCCGCATCCTACACCAAATAAACACATCAAACATCACAAAATGGGCCACAGTCAGAATGCGGGTCTTGGCACACTGTACGGTCGTCTTTTTGAATGTCTAAGTTCTCGGTTTTTTATCGCACAGGGGTGCCAAGACACCGACACGTGCCAAGACCCCGACACCTGTGCGGAAATGAATTCAATATTTGGTCCTGAAAATACAACACAGACCCTGTGCGATGACTCCGATCCGCGCGATTCTGATTCTGAGTGAATACAAAGCGGCGATGTGGGGTGTTTTGAACGCACACCCCCGTGCCGACGCTCCGACGTGTGCGATCCTGAACAAATCACAGTAGACACACACCAGCACTTCGTGTGCAGTATTGCAGCATCAGGACCACAACATACCGGTAGGATACAGACACACCAGCACACACAACACACACGCGGCGAAATAAAATGCGGCGAAATAAATCCGAGACGGCGAGGCGGCGAATTACCTTGAAATTCCCCGACACATAAGTGTGCGCTAACACACACCACACACACAAGCAACACGTCGTTTGGTCTCGTGTGGCTTGTATGCGTTCATGGTTGATTGAGTACTGTAGATACCGTTTGCCGATCCCGACAATAACAACAATATTCAACACGAAGGCGGACCTAGAAATATGAAAACATCACTTGCACATGAGCAACGTTACGATGCCAAAGCACAGCAGTGGTGCCCATGCTACAAGCTGCCTTGGCACAGTAGTGGCCCGCGGCAAAAGCTGGATACCACTCGTGTATAACCCAACTCCGCCGAAGGTATCGGGGTCTCCGCACACCCCTGTGCGAAGTGAGTGATACCTGTGCGAAATCAATGAAATCCCTTGAAACCCGATATTTTCCGCGCTCCTCCCCCCGCGGTGTTTGCCATCGGGATTGGGTTTTCGTCGCTTGGCAACGACGCTGTAAAACAAGCCGCCCTCCCCCCGCCCCCTTCGCCATCAGGGTTGGGCTTTCGTCGCTTGGCAACGACGCTGTAAAACAAGCCGCCCCCCCCCCCGGTGTTTGCCATCGGGGTTGGGTTTTCGTCGCTTGGCAACGACGTTGTAAAACAAGCCAATTCACTTCGTGAACTCGGCAACCAGGTTACCGTTTTTTTTTTTTACCTCCGTTTTTTTTTTTGGCGGTAACCATAATGGTGGCCGAGTAGATCATGTTGTGCGGGATGGAGAACCCTCGCTCCGGCGCTCCGG